ACGTTTGTTTATTTCTTGATAGCAAGTCGGTACATTTAAGACTAAAGACTGTGCACTCATAAGGTAGTTATTAAATTGGGAGTGGTCGAAATTAAGAGTGTGACGATTTTTTATTCTTTCGCTTCTCCTAAAATTTATATCAGCACTTTATATCAGAGTTCATTATTTAAATTTGATGGAGACTTACTGTGTTCAAGGAGATATTCATATTCATCTGTTTTATTTACAGATTTATTAGTGCCATCATCTGTTTTATTCGCAGATTCATATCTATTTACAGATTTCATTTTATCTGTTTTAGATATTTTTTTTCTTGGCAGTTCAGATTCATTAAGTTTTAAGGTAGGCCTTGATATTTTAAAATTTAATTCATCAAATATTACATCACGTGCTATTAAAAATTTACACGTTTCTGCATTGAAAACTTTATAACCATTTGTTTCGAACCCAACAAGTATACCTTTAAATGATTTTTCATCAAACTTACTTTTTCTGGTTTTATTGTGTACATATACGGTAGAACCGAATACTTTTAAGTGGTTTAATCTGGGCTTTTTATTATGCCACAGTTCAAATGGTGTTTTATTTTGTTTGATCGCTTTAGTGGGGGTTAAATTTATTAAATATGTAGCAGTTAAGACTGCTTCACCCCAAAAAGTTTTATCTAAGCCAGCACCATGGATCATGGCACGTGCTTTTTCTGTTAGCGATCTATTCATACGCTCCGCTACTGAATTTTGTTGCAGAGTATAAGGCAAAGTTAAATGATATGTAATACCTCCTTGAACACACAATTCCTTTTGCTCTTTTGAAAGATATTAGCGACCATTATCTCAATATAAATTTGCGATTTTTAAATTAAACTGTGATTCACTTTTTGCAACAAAATCTTTAAAAACGTTAAACACATCTGATTTGTGCATTAATAAATAAGTCACTGTATAAAGTGTATACTCATTAATGAAAGTGGCAAAATAATTTTTGTTATCAAGTGTCGATGGAGTTATTGGACCGCATACATCCAAATGCACAATAAATAAGGGTCTTTTAATGTGTGTTTTATCTTTGGCTTTAGAAAAAGGAAGACGTGTTTGTTTACCATAAATACAAGCTTCACAAATATTTTCATTTGGATTAATTGCCTGCAGTTGACTACTGTCTTGTACAATTTCTTTAGTTTTTATTTCTAGGAATTTAGTTTTACTAGTATGACCTAGACGTTCATGTCAAATTTTATAATTATTAGTAGTACTTAAAGTTGCGTGATTAATCATGCTTTTATTAGCGATTAATCTAATTTAAAGGTAATACTAATTAATTTACCTTTTATGATGGTATTACTACCTTGGAATATTGATACCTCACCATTTTTGTCAAATACAACTGTCATTCCAGCTTCCTGGATTCGACATACTGAAAGTAAGTTTTATGGAACTTCGGGAGCATAGAGGACATCTTTATTTGTGCCGTTGAATCCCTGGTTGGTGGTGATGTTGATAGTATTTTTTAATGTAGCAAATATAGATTCACCTTCTTTGGCTACAGTAATTTTGGATTTTCTAGCTCTTTATAGGTTGTGAAAACAGTGGATTGATTTATTATGTGCTATGTTGCACCAGAGTCCAATATAAAAATTATATCATCAGGTCAGCCTGATTTATTTTCCAAAGGGGTGGATTTCATCATAAAGGCAAAATTTTGTGTATCAGCGGTTTGTATCATTTGTAAGTTTTTCTCATTTCCGGTGTAAGATTTGTTAGATTTTTTGTTGTGTGTTTTAAAACGAAATTGTTTTGTTTCTTGATTATATCCTCGGTGGTTTTCGTTCTTGGCTCGTCCAATTTTTTTGGGAATTATTTCCTTTGTTGGTGTTTTTATTGTAGGCATTTAAAACTTTTGTGCTAGTATCATTCCTTTCATTTTTGATTTTTATTTCGTGATCAAGTAGTCTAGTTTTAACAAAAGCTTAGGTTGTCATCGGAAAGTGTTTGAATTGCTGTTACGACTCCGTCGTACGAAGATGGCAATGTTAATAGTAAGTATGCAACTTTACTCATTTCATTAAGGTTAGCTCCTACAGCTGTTAAATTTCATCAAATTCAATGAAATGTTTTATTAGCGATGTCTCAGCCTTTAATTTAAAACTTCCTAATTTTTTCTGCACTGATAATTGTGTTGCTAAGCTTTTTCTTTCATAGATACTATCTAGTTTTTGCATAATATCTCGGGCTGTTAATTCTTCAGTGACAATTCCAATCATTAAGTCGCCAAGATGTGCAATCTTTTACAGTTCTATCGAGTTTTTGCCACTCATTGGTAATGGTTTTTGGAGGGTCTTGATCAAGAACTAGTAGAGCGTCTTCTTTACTAATTAATGCTCTCACACGAAATTTCCAGATGCGGTAATATCATCCATTGAAGGGTTTAATATTTCCTTTAATTTTTTTATCACTCGCCATTGTCACTTTAGTGTTACTTTAGTTTTGTTTTAGTTTAGTTTTTATTTTTAACGTCACTATTTCACCACACTAATAACTAATAAACGTATTCTGAGCCCATAACCTATTAGGGTAATTGGAAGATTATTTAATTAAAACAGTATTATCAATACTTTTATTTAAAGTTCTAACACCGACTATATTTAATGATTAAGTAAGTTGGTTTAATAAAATATAGGCCGTAGTGCTTACTTGCTAAGTCATCAGTATTAGGATAAACACACATAGTGGACTACGTGACATTTAAGCAGCATTAGTTTTTGGATATTTCAATAATATTACATATTCTCATTAACTCAAAAGTCGACGTGAGATTTTCAATGATCCCCCTCTCTTAAAATGAGATTTGGTGCGATTATGTCAGATCCCTCCTCCCCATTTTTATCTCACGTAATTAATGGATGTCCCCTTAGGTCAAAGCCAATTTGTGATCGCCCATATCACCTGCGAAATTACCTTATAAATGCCGGGCAGAGATTCCAACGCTTTATAGATGTAGCCTAGAATTTTCCTTTCCGTATATGAACGACATTCTAATTTTCTCACAGGACGCTGCCAAATCATCTTCCCAACCTTTTTACGCGCCTTTCTGTCTATGGAACCTAGTCAACGTGAAGGAAAGTATACTGAATAAACCAGCAGTAACGTTTTTTAGATATAAAGTCACCGCTGCAGGTACCATGCCTCTTCCAGGCAAAGTAGATGCCCTCCAAAATTTTCCTCGCCCATGTGCAGCAAAAGACAAGCGTCATTTTTTGGGCATGATACATTGTTATCGGCGCTTCTACCAGACCAAGACATACTATGGTCAAAAATTAAATATTTATGTACCAAGACCTAATAATAGGCAAACATTTGTATTTAAGTGTCCAAGGGCACGTACCAACATTTTAGTAAGGTCGCCGATATATAAAATGTCCCTAACTTTTAATAAAGTAGCAAGTCTTTGTGATATTAATTTTTCTAGTCTGAGGAATATACTACAATGCTTTTAACCATTTAATTATTATAGTTATCAATGATTTTCTTTTTTTATTATATATTTGCGGTTTTTTTACCCGTTGTCTACTTTTTTTAAACACCACTTTATATATTTAAGTATATTAATTTTATTATTTTTTTATGTATATTACTAATTGTTTTTGTATCTACTGTAACTTTGTTATTTGAATATCTTTTATTGTGAGAACTGTTGGGAAATAAATAAATTATTATTATTATTAAAAAATGCCGTTTTTCGGCAAAAATTCAATTTTTTTTATTACAAATAAATATAATTTTTTTTCTTTTCTAATGTCTTAAATAGGATAAAATAGGTATAAGTAAGCATGTTTTACATCAAAAACTTAAGGCTTTTATTTTTATCGCATTTTTATATTGTAAAAACACACCGTTTTCCAGAAAAGTTTTTATAATGACACAATATTTTATTTACCTGTGCTAGGGATGATTTATATTAAAAGTCGGTGTAAAATATCTTTATTTGTTGCTGTCCTGTTTGTTTTTCTTAAAAACATGTACCTAAATTTTTTGAAATCTTTATTTCGGGATTTTTGTGCCTCCTCTGAAAGGACCCCGATTGGTAAAGCTATATTTTCCATCGCCTCCTTTCCATATACTAATATTTTATGAACTGTTACAGGCATGTAGTACCATGTATACAGTTCCACAAACAACTTTGCTGTTTGCTGAGCAAACATTCCCAACTTATTTGGATCTATCAAGCTTTGTGTAGTGAGCAAGCTGCAAAATGGTTTGAATTAAGTTAAAATCAACCTTAGTTATCTCTGCAACTAAGGTTGGATTTTGAAAAAATCTTCTTGATGTGTTTCCAGAGTTGGAATTACCTGAGCTGGTTTTAACAACGTCTATTATAAAACACATTTTTGATCTAAATTTCTGTTGAATTCTTTTTTTTCAGATTCCTTAATTTCCTGCAGATCTTTTGTGGCTCTCCATTTTTTAAATGGTAAATTATAGGCAATGTGTAGTATACACTTAATGCGGGCATGTAAAGGAGATAATCCAAATTGAAGAGGTTCTTCATTTGTTGGCTTATGGACAAACATTTTGTAAATTGTTCATTTCTGTTGGATTTGCTTTACATATAAAACATGTAGAAGCAGAAGGAGTTTTTGTTATTATTTTTGCTGTCTTTCCATTAATCATGGTAAATTTCATGTCGTGCAGAGCAACTTTTTCCGGATATTGTTACTTCTATTTTGTAAGCTGGGAAATTTCGTTGTAAACATCCAAAAAATTTTCAGGGGACTCTTTTACATATTCAAATAGATAAGGCGGTACCATCTCATAGATGAAGGCAAATCATTGTTCCAAATTGTTGAGTCAAAGCCAGTTCTAAGTAGTAAAGGCACCATGAATACCATGTGGAAGCTACTATCTGATGTTTCCTGATTATCACTTTGTACATATTTTTGATTGTATTCAGATTGCCCAGAAGCACTATCACATCCCTACTTACTAACTAAAAGTAACTCTGTATTATCTTCTTTCAGTTATTAGCATTTTATCTGGGTAGCACACTTTTTTAATATGAACCTTATAATAAGGTGGTAAAATATCATGTCCAAAATCCTTAACGGCATTTCTAAATGCTTCATATTGATGCTTTGACAATTGGGCATCCGTTATCAACGCCAAAGCCTGTTCCGTTGGCATATACATTTTCTTCTCAAAATTTTCGGGGAATTTCGCAGCTGCGGATAAAAAGTCTGATTCAACGGATTCTCGTAAAAGTTTAACCTTATGCCTTTTAGAACGTTCAGCACAATCCAAAAAATGCTTCTTTGGTCTTCCTACACCGGATGGACCTGGTTGTGATAAATCTTCATTAAATTCAATTATCATTTCGTTTTTTAACCATTCTTCATTTTTAATTTTAAAGATATTTTAACACCGCTGTGATAACAACCACTTGGTCTTAAACTATATATATATATATACATGTATATACAGGGTTGGGCAAAAATATGGAATAATGGAAATATTTTTTTTCTGGTCAGTTCCTGCAAAAAACGCTAAGACATGTCAAATTTAGTTTTTCCCAAGGACTATTTTAACATTTTTTTTTATCTTTTTACCCCTCCCCCTTTTACAGAATGACGTAATCATAATTTTTTTTAAATGACAACCCCCAATTATTTTTTCAGAAAAAGAGACCATCAATTTCTGATTTTAAATTTATGCATATTCAGTATGTTTGGACTTAAAAATACTTTTTCAAATAATAATATTATTTATCGACAAGAGTTAGTAACAAGTTCATACAAATTTGTAGTATTTTAAATTACCGGAGAGTGCCTATAGGCACTATAGTGCTGAAATTGTTTTTAGTCTAACTGAGGCAATGTGAATTTTCAAAACCAAACTATATTTTGCTACATAACCAATATTTTTATTTATAGAAACAATATCTATTAGGAAAATAATTTAAACGGTAAATGTTTAGCCCCTTAAATGCTCAAAAAGTCTACTATTATTTTGAAAACATAATTGCAATCTCTCTATAAAAAAAATCACAGGGGGTTAAGTCAGGTGACCTTGGTCATCTATCCTCCACGCCCAATCCACCTTTCCGCAAATACTTCGTCCAAAATGAGGGGGTGCCCCATCCTATTGAAACCATATAGTGTTGTCATTTGGATACAGGGCTTCTATTGCAGGGACAACGTTCACTTAATAGAGCCAAATATCTCCCCATCGCTAAATTGTCTTCTATGAAGAAAGGTCCGATAATTTCATTTCGAATTATGCATGCCCAGACATTGACTTTTTAAGGTCGTTGGGTGGGAAATTCGATCATCCAGTGAGGGTTTTGCTGGGACCAGTATCGACAGTTATGTCTATTGACAGCTCCGTTTAGCATAAAGGTGGCCTCATCAGAAAACAAAATTTTATTTAAAAAGTTTTGATTTTCCTGCCACATGCGCTGCATAACTTTGCAAAATTGTAGCCTCCTATTAAAGTCATTTTCAGTCAATTCTTGTAACAAGTGGACTTTGTAAGGGTGAAACTTTTCTTTTTTTTTTAATTCTACCAACTGACCTTCTTGAAATATTGTGGTTTTGTGCAAGGTCGCTGCTGTATGTTCTTGGAGCATTTTCTATTTCTAACAAAACATTCAATGCCAAATTTTCGTTGGTGGCTGTTTTGGGACGGCCTGATTTTTTTGCGTTTTTCACACTTCCGTTTTGTGTGTATTTTTTAATTACTTTGGAAATACAAGATTGCAAGATCGGGGCATGGTTGGGATAGGCTTCATTAAATAAGCGGCATACTTCTTGCTGCGTTCTCTTCCGGTCTCCAAATCCAACCATGGTTAGGATATCAGCGAGGGGTAAACCACTAATTTTTTTAAATACGAATTAACGGCTAAGGATAACAATAACGGGTAGTCATGCGCAACGAGTCGCTAAGTACTGATTAAGCAAGTTTTCCTTATTGATAACGACTGATAAGGAAAAAAATCACAACACAACGTCCACTAACATTGAACGTTGGTATCCGAGGGGTAAACCACTTTAAAATCTTAAAGTGGTTTACCCCTCCGATATCAGTTCTTTCTTTTTTAGTCAATTGCACCATTTTTTCTTTGACTTTCAAGTAAATCTGAATTTTAAAAAACTTTTATGTAAAGAACTAAAGCACTGCTTCTTTCAAAATAGCGAAAAATTGACATTTATCATGTTTTTCAACTTGGTTACCAGCCTCTTTTGTTTTTGTAAAATTAAAATAAAATTACCTGTCCTATTTTTTCAACTTAAAAAGTTATTATTTTAGAAACTATAAGTCCAATCAGACTTAATATGCATATTATTAAAACCAGAATTTAATAGTCTATCCATTTCTGTAAAAAAAAATTGGGGGTTGCCATTTAAATAAATTGACAATTACGTCATTCTGTAAAAAGGGAAACATGAAAAAAATGTCAAAAAAATCCTTAGAAAAAACTAAATTTGACGTGTCCGAGCGTTTTTTGCAGGACCTGGCCAGGAAAAAAATATTTCTATTATTCCATACTTTAGCCCAACCCTGTATATATATATATATATATATATATATATATATATATATATATATATATATATATATATTATATATATAAGTTATAATATAAAGTTATAAAGTGCTCTTTTAGTTCCACCCTTACATCCAAACTAAGATGTCCCATAAGCCAACTGAATGGCTTGTGCGGGTTAGGGGTAGGAACGGACCGACGGCTTAAAGTCCCCTCCGAAGGACTATATATATATATATTATATATATATATATATATATATATATATATAATTTTTTTCATTACGAGTTTGAATTGATTTTTATCCAAATTATTTTTAGGAAATAGACTGACGTCTTTGTCACTATTTAAAAATATTTCTTTTTAAAACTATGAAGCTGATTTTGAATTACTGACGGATATATACTCAGATAATAATATATACTCAGACAAATAAAACAAATTTAGCTACTCACACAAACACTCAAAAAATAAAATTTCTTCACTTAAATATTTGGTAAATTCGGGATAAATTCTTGGAATTGGAAGCTCTTCTTATTGACAAAGATATTAAAATAGTATCCATTACCGAACATTGACTGACCGAGTCTGAAATTGACTTATTAAGAGTGGCCGATTACCAGATAGTTTCACATTTCTCAAGGAAAACTTACAAGGGAGGTGGCTCATTAATTTTAGTAAAATGCTTAAAAAATTAGGACGTCTTACCAATATAGAAGCATTATCAATTGAAAAAACATGTGAATTAAGTTGTAGATATATTACAGACATAAATGTTATTATTTGAAATGTATATCGTTCGTCTTGTAGTTGTTTTTTATCCTTTTTAGGTATTCTTGAAGTAGCTCTAAAACAAATTTCCAACAAAAATATCATTGTCAGTGGTGACTTTAATGTTAATTTTGAAAGTAACAGCAGGGACTGTACAGCACTGGTTGACTTAATGGGGACATTTAATCTCATAAAACTGGTAAACTTCTCAACCAGAGGCAAATATTGTATCGATAACATTTTTATGAACTTCAGCCTAGATCAATATAGCATCTGCAAAATTTTAACTCCAATGTCTGATCATGATGCTCATTTATTGAAATTTGTTCCACCCACTCAGGTAACAAATAAATCAAAGATTTTAAAAACCTGTAGACCAATTACTTCTGCAGGCAAAATAAACTTTTTTAAATCACTTGAGGATATCTCCTGGGAGTTTATTGGATGTGATAACTTAAATACAGAAAGGAAATTTAACTCTTTTATGAATATACTAAATATTGCATATGAAAATTCCTTTCCAACAAAAACACTATTAACCAAAAACACTTTATCTTACGATCACTCTTGGTTCAACAATGAACTTAGAACAATGAGAGATCAACTACAAAGTATCTCTGCCTTTAATAAAATGTTTCCTTATAATATCCATTTTAAAACACTAAAGAGCAATTTACTGAAAACTTACAAATCAAAGTTAAATTTTTTTTAAACCCAAAGTAATGACTTAAGAATGCAAAATTCTAATTGTCCAAATCGCACAATGTGGGATATTATAAATGATAAAAAAAATAAAAAATCCTTATGCATTCCCAGGGAGATATCTCCAAATGATTTTAATACTTTTTTTAGCACCATCGCTGAAAAATTATATAATAACCTTTAGAACTCAAATCACCTAAATAACAAAGCATATGAATTTAAAGCACAAATTGACCCATCTTTAAATTTTACCTTTCATACAGTAACTTTTAACAATGTTAGGGATGTTATAAACTCCCTAAAAAATTCTAATACAAAAGACATATATGGGCTTAGCGTAAACCTCATAAAAAGTATAAAACACATAATACTGTACCCCCTTACAAATTTAATAAATCTGTGCATCAAATCCAACATTTTTCCTAACTCTCTAAAAGAAAGCCTTGTAATACCAATTTTTAAAAAAGGAAATTTACATGATCCCAACAATTATCGCCCTATTTCATTGCTTCCAATAATCTCAAAAATTTTTGAAAAAATCGTAACTCAACAAATAACTGAGTACCTTGAAAGAAATAATATGTTGAATAATAGTCAATACGGTTTCCGTAAAAATAAAAATACCACGCAGGCTATCTTAGATCTAATGCACAAAGTTATAAGTTGCCTCGAAAAAAAGGAACACATGGTAGCAATTTTCTACGACCTCTCCAAGGCGTTTGACTGTGTGCTGCATGATGTCCTTAACAAACTTACTGAAACTGAACTGAAATATAATTTTGGAAAAACTTCCATTCAAATATTAAAATCATATTTAACTGATCGACAACAAACTGTTAAAGCAAATAAAACTTTTTCTAACTCAACCAAAGTAAGCTATGGGGTACCACAAGGATCTGTTCTTGGACCCCTTCTTTTTTTTATTTATATTAATGATCTTCCTACATCCGGTAACATTGGACATTACATCCTTTTCTCTGACGATACTACAATATCTGTCACAAGTGATAATATTAACGAAGCAAGAGATTGTCATGACAAAAATGCTTTTCTCGCTGCGATGTCAAAATGAAGATGATAAAGAATTCATTGAAAACACCAAATTTCTTGGTGTATTTCTAGATTCTAAACTACAATGGAATACTCATATTGATTATGTCGCCTCTAAACTATCTAAAAATATATATCTACTCAGAAATCTGTCCTTATCAGTATCCAGTGCTGTGCTAAAACAGCCTATTTTTTACTTTGCCACTCAATACTAACATGGGGCCAAAGTCCCAGCAGTAGACGCATTTTTTCTCATCAACGTAAAGCTATTCGCATCATAACTAATCTTAACTATGAGATGATAGCA